CATTAAAATGACACAGGCCATAGACTGCCCTCAGTGTATAGCTCAACAAACTATCTCAGAACCTTTAAATTAAACCTTTAAACCTTTTATTACAATTGTAATTAGCACTTGTTCCTTTCCTCTCCAAAATACCATTAGCCATTAATGCTTCCAGGCAAATAATGAACGCCAAGTTGAGTCTTCTTTCTCTACATTGTCCTGATGTTCTTTGGAACCTTGCAATAAATCTCTCTTGGTGGATCACAGTTTTCTTTTTCACACATTTGCCCACATCTCCTGCCAGGACACTTCATCCACAATCCCATGAACTGCCAAATGCCCTCTTCATTTCCGCTTTCTCAGCTGCCTGGGAAATGTGTTAGCATGAAAGCATAGCCAAGGCTTATTTCCATTGGCCACAGTAGTTATAAAGACGTTGCCAATGAAGTAGTTGTGTCAGTAGGTTTGCAACCTCAAAGGATTGGTGAAATATTGAGATGGCTCCCATGTAATTAACACCTGCTCTTTTAGCCCAATCTCTTTTTTTATTCTGTTTTAGTTTTGTACTTTTAATGAAGTTTTTAATAGAAAGTGATATTATTATGTTTAACTTTGTTGTACACCACCCACAGACATTTGATTGTGAGATGGGTGGCTATATAAGTACAGTACAATAGATAGGTCGGTGCTCCATCACTCCATCCATCCAGTACTCCATGTCCATCACAGTGATCACAGAGAATGCCCCATCACTGGCAACCAATTGACCAGGATAGTATAAGGTCTCCTGCCTTGAACAGGAGCTTGGAGTAGAAGACCTCAGAGGTCTCTTCCAGCCCTATGATTCTAAGTGCTGTAGATAGATGATGGATGGATGGATGGATGGACGGACGGATGGACGGACGGACGGACGGACAGACAGACAGATAGATAGAAAGATAGATAGGCAGGCAGGCAGGCAGGCAGGCAGGCAGATCAGTTCTAAGATGGGGTTGGCTAAGCAGGGAATTCTGGGAGTTGAAGCCCACCTATCTTAAAATTGTCAAGGCTGAGAAACATTGATTAAGACAGTATCCTTTTAGACCAGGTTTGGTCACCGTGATGTAAAAAAGATGTTGAGACTCTAGAAAGAGAAGAGCAACAGAGATAATTAGGGGACTGGAGGCTAAAGCATATAAGGAACGGCTGCTGGAATTGGGGAAGTCTAGTTTAATGAAGAGAAGGATTAGGGGTGACATGATAGCAGTGTTCCAATATCTCAGGGGCTGCCACAAAGAAGAGGGAGTCAAGCTATTCTCCAAAGCGCCTGAGGGCAGGACAAGAAGCAACGGATGGAAACTAACCAAAGAGAGAAGCAACCTAGAACTAAGGAGAAATTTCCTGATAGTTAGAACAATTAATCAGTGGAACAACCTGCCTCCTGGAAGTTGTGAATGCTCCAGTATTGGAAGTTTTTAAGAACAGCCATTTGTCTGAAATGGTATAGGGTTTCCTGCCTATAATAATAATTATTATTATATATATTATATCATTCTCTTCTTGGATTAAAAAAAAGAGGGGAATGTCATTCTTAATTGCACATGGACTGTTTGATTCGCTTTTAAAAATCAACACTTCTGTTTTGAATATGTTTTGATTTGGCCCGTCTTAACAGTTTTTGTAAACATCTCATAATACTCCTTGGCTGGTACAAGGGCATTTTATTGCTTCAGGATGCGGGAGAGAAATACA